AGGGGAAGCAGAAGAAGGCGCGGAAGTACGCGGTCATGAAGCGCATGATCAGCCTCCGGGACCAGCGCATGTGAGTGTGGTCTGCGGCGGTGTCCGGTCCCGTGTGGGGCTGTCAGTCTCCGTGTCCTGGGAGGGAGAGAGGGGATTCCGGCCCAAGCCCCTCCGCCGCTGCCCGCCCTTCCCTGTTGTCCCTCCCCAGGAGTGCCTGTGTTTCCTTGCAGTAACGAGAAGGAGCGGGCAAAAGCCCCTGTGAAGAAGAAAGAGGACCCGAGTGCCATCAAGGAGCGGGAGGTGTAAGTGCTGCTGACGCTTTGGGGAGGGCGAGAGGGCCGGCCACGCTGCAGGCTGCAGCCAGGTTCCTGGAGTAGGAAATGGTGCCCCAAACCGAGGGATCAGGCTTGGGAGGCAGCAGGAGACCTGACAGGTCACCATCGCATCCTGCCTTCACTTGTTTCTGCTCGTTACCCTTCTTTCATTCAGTGCAAATTGTAGGATTGGACATCTTGTCAAATGTAATTAACTGATTTGAATTCTTTGTCTTCCTGGCAGCCCGCAGCATCCCTCTTGCTTGTTCTTCCAATATAATACACAGTTGGGCCCACCCTATCACATCCTGGTTGACACAAACTTCATCAACTTCTCCATCAAGGCCAAGCTGGACCTAGTGCAGTCAATGATGGATTGTCTCTATGCCAAGTGTGAGTGTCTGTGTCACTCGCAGCTTCTTCTGTACCACGTAGTGCCACAGTGTGCTCATGATGTGCTTTGTCAGCCTCATGCCACTAGATGAGCATAACAGGAGTCTTGGAAAAGGATGTGTGCTGTGATCATCAAACTCCTTGTTTGTGGCTATGGTAACCCTGGAATTGTCTCTGGTTTCAGTCAAACAATAGTCTTAAATTCTAATCTCAACAAAGGTAAAGTACTACTAAGTTAAAAATCTAAAATTACCATGGCATGGTCAAACTCAGTGGCTCTACACTTCATCACTTTGCAACCTTATCAGTTCTCATAAGTTTAAAGCTGTAAGTGGTATGTTATAGAGTCCCATGATAGTTCCTGGACATGTGGGCAATACATAGAGATCTGTGAAGAAATACTGCTTGGTTTTAATACAGGGGTTTTTGCATGCAGGTATTCCATGTATCACAGATTGTGTAATGGCTGAAATCGAGAAGTTAGGACAGAAGTACCGTGTGGCATTAAGGTAGGTGCAGGGTGTTCTTCTCCCTTTCTAGAACTTAATGTTTTAATATCAATAAACAAAAACCACTTTCCATGACAGTGCTCTTGCATTAGAGGGTGGTTAGGTTGTTTTAGAGTCCCAGGCTTGGGGTTTTTTTTTTCTCTGGATGTGTGAGATCAGTACAATGGCTCGAGTTTTAGATTAGAAAAAAACCCAAAAACCTAAATGCTAGGTATGAGTGCACCATATTGACCTGTAAATCTCCCCCCTCCAAGACTTTCAAAATTAACACTTCCTGCTGTTTCTCAAAATACATAGGGAATTTTAAAAAGGTGTATTATTAATTTTTATTGTTTTCTTTTTTTCTAAAAATAAGTGACACAGGTGTTATGGAACCTTTCATTCCTGTCTCATGTTATTCTTGTAGGAGAAGGTAGCATGTACTCATAATCTAGAGCTAGGTTATTGTGTGATCTGTACAAAACTAATCCAATGTGGTTCGTGCTTTCCAGGTGTAGCAGTCAAATGTATTGTTACTTACTTTTTATTTTGGCCTGTTGTGTGGTAAAGTATCCGAATGCATCCTCTTAACAGCTTTGATACTCCCCTTCAGGGAGGAAGTGAGGTGTTCCTATATGCGTGGTACTAGCAGTCAGACACCGGAAGGAATTCTAGTTCTTCCCACAGATAACGTGTTTCAAATGACTTTGTTAGTCAAGAGCCTAACAGCATAGGGATCTTGAATTCAGCTAACAAGTACTAAGAAATACTTAACTTATAATAATTAGCCAGTCAAATTACATTCTTTTTTTTGCTCAGTTGTGTACCATTTGCTCCATCCCCTCAGCCCTTGTTTTGAGAATAATGTGC